CACTTTGTTAAAGACTAAAGGTCAGTTTATATTATTGGATACGGTAACATGAGTGCACGTGTTCCACGTTATTGTAACTTCTGTGTTGTTAGCCAGGCACGGCTGAAAGGTTAATGTAATAAAAATAATAAATATATAATGTTATGATATTTAAGCTATCTATGTTTTTGTGTCATACTTTGTTGTCATTCTAGAATGAAAGAGGCATGATTTATATTTACTTCCTAATTTTACAAGATCAGTCAAATCTACCGAACCCGTACAGAGATATGTTATTCGATGACGAGGAACCCACTTTGAGACTAATAATGCTTGGGGATGGCTTGAATGGGTGATGAAGAAAAACTTTAATATAAGTTTAACATAACAGCAAATGTACAATGTTTCGTAACTGATGATGACAAAACCTTGTACATTTGCTGTTATGTTAAACTTATATTAAAGTTTTCTTCATTACCCATTCAAGCTGTCTCCAAGCATCATTAGAGATTTGTCAGTGAAAATAACAGATAAAATATAAAGTTTTTTCTTAAGAAACATTTGATAGATATCTGGACAATTATAAAGATTTTGCATGTGAAATTTGAAAATTTCCTGATGCATAAAAATATTTTTATTCTTAAAATGAAAATTACTTTGCATATCGGATAGGCAACATGCGAAAAGAAAACAAGCATGAGAAAAACACTGCTTAACAAACCTTAAGACTTAATAAAAAAAATTAGATATTTTGCGTATGAAACCATTGTAATGTTTACTGATAAACTGCCAAATTTCGTTAACATACATTTACTAATTTAAAAGTTATAGCATGAAAAGTATAACAAGCCCAAAATGGTTATGAGGTCGGTCCCGGGGACCGAGCCCGTGCTGAAAGAGCTAAAAAGGGGTTGTAGTTTCTCAGCTACCATTTATTTGTTTGTAATTAAGCACAAAGCTACACAATGGGCTATCTGTGCTCCGCTCACCACGGGTATCAAAACCCGGATTCTAGCGACGTAAGTCCGCAGACATATTGCTGTGCCACTGGGGGCCTCAGCTACCATTAATGGTATTTACTTGTTTTGTATGTAGACACTGCGTGTACATGGAGCAGGGTGTAATGACAAATATATAAACCACAGGATTTAACAGAAAGGTTGGTTTAGTGGATAAGATAAAATGTTCAGTAATGAAAGAATACATCTTGTTCAAAAATCTGGGATGTATTTCCATGTTAAAACAAAATGTACTGAAAAATTATAGGTTGATCTTATAATCTCAGGAAACATTCCAGTTATCAAATATATATATATACAATCTCCACTTAACTCCAAGCAATTCTACAATGGGTACAGAAAACTGCTTTATAAAGAAACATTTTTGTTTTCATTTACATATTCCTTATTTATGTGCTTTTAAGAGAAAATTCTGATAACGTGAATTGGTTTGTGTTAAAATGCATAAAAACGCACCACTTCAAATGAGCTATCAGAGTGATCTGAGGAGACATGTTCCTGTAACGTTCCTTCTGTAAACCCTAGTTTCCCACAGTATGGACACGTAAATGATTGAGGCTGGTCTACCGATATGGCTTCTCCTCCATAGTACACATCTACAGGGGGGAAAGTAAAAGGTTTTAATACTTCTTGGTGATGAATAGATTAACACGTACAAAATATTTTATCTTTTTAACGAACAAAATATTAATTAGATATTAGTCATATAGTTATTGCCATGTGGAATTCTTAAAAAAAAAAAGACTATTTCATATGTAGAGTATTTTTTAATTCAGTTTTAATAAACATATCTATGTATAGTTATTCAGACTCGTAAATACCATTACAGAGATCTTATTAAAAACAGTAATATTCTATTGTAATTTTTACTAAAAGTATTTTTCTTCTTCTTAAATTTGTAACATTTAAATTATTTCAATCAATAATGATGCTACAAAAATAGTGTACAACTTGTATAAAAAAATATGAATAACTAGTAATTAATAATTGATTTGATTTTCTATCAAACAAGTCCATTAAATTCAAGTTTTTTTTATTTGGGTGAAATTATTTTTTCACATTTATTTCTTTGGAAAATAAAATCTGTGTATATGGAAAGTTTTATTTATGTAACATAGAATCAGAAATGGGGTTATAAAACATACTGAAAAATTCCATCATGGTATGTGAGGATTAGGAACAGATGCTGTTATAAAAGTTACTGACAAACCCTGTTATAAGCCTTGAGAATTAGGAACAGATGCTGTTATAAAAGTTACTGACAAAACCTGTTATAAGCCTTGAGAATTAGGAACAGATGCTGTTATAAAAGTTACTGACAAAACCTGTTATAAGCCTTGAGAATTAGGAACAGATGCTGTTATAAAAGTTACTGACAAACCCTGTTATAAGCCTTGAAAATTAGTAACAGATGCTGTTATAAGCCTTGAGAATTAGTAACAGATGCTGTTATAAGCCTTGAGAATTAGGAACAGATGCTGTTATAAGCCTTGAGAATTAGGAACAGATGCTATAAAAGTTACCAACAAATCATGTTATAAGCCTTGAGAATTAGAACAGATGCTGTTATAAGCCTTCAGAATTAGGAACAGATGCTGTTATAAAAGTTACTGACAAAACCTGTTATAAGCCTTGAGAATTGGAGACAGCTGTTATAAGCCTTGAGAATTAGTAACAGATGCTGTTATAAGCCTTGAGAATTAGGAACAGATGCTGTTATAAAATTTACTGACAAACCTGTTATAAGCCTTGAGAATTAGAGACAGCTGTTATAAGCCTTGAGAATTAGGAACAGATGCTGTTATAAAAGTTACTGACAAAGCCTGTTATAAG